TCAAGTGTTTAATTCTGAATGTTGCTTTGAGAGTAAGCATGTAATCCTCCGGAATGAGAATGATGTTTATGAGTGCACGTGTGGTTATGGTGTCTGATGACTTTTGTACAGTTATAATGTGTTCTATGATTATTGAAGTACATGTAATGCTATGTACTGTCTATACGCAATGTTTATCTGTGACTGTGTTTTCATCTTTTACTTCGTTACTAGAAAATAAACTTTTCTGTGTTTAAGTGAATCACGGTTTTCTTTCCATATACAAATAAGATGATGTGGTGTGATCAACTATCCTCATACTTTTTTACGACTGTACTTCGCTCGCCAAGATATTTTACAGCTTTCAATCTAAATTCCTTCTGCTCAATAGAATACATTCATTGCATATGTTTTAAAATCCTTTATGGGTTTCAATTTAATCTATGCTATGGAATTATGTTTGTTTACATAGTCTCTGCAATTTCTATTTGGTGAATATCAATACAGAACACGAGTATTCGGGTCACCTATACAAAATTTAATTGAAGCGCTTATGTGTAGCTTAAACCTTAATATTAGTAAGTTTCTGTTAATAGAGTTAAAAAAAAAAACAAGATATATGGACGAGATTGGAGAAATATTTTGTAAAAAAATTCTTGTGGTAAAATGATTATAAAGTTACTAGAACGTTAATGAAAACAATTTTAACGTTACGCGCAAATGGCTAAAATACCATTGTACCTTGGTCTTTTCTGACGCCCTGGAAAACTAGACAAACACAGTTACAAGTCTAATGGTTATCGTTTTATGAACTACACTAGTTAGTAATCCTTCTGCAGTAATTTCGTCAATTTCTGAGACAGGGCCGGTTTTAACCCTTCGTGGCCCTACTCCTTTCATGCAAACGTGTATTTTTTCACACAAAAGTAAGGGGCCAATAAATGAAAATAGAAAATAATGCCCCAAAGGTCAAATGTAATAGGACTAAACTGACAGAAGTGATTAAGCTCAAAACAAATCATGCAAATATTATAAAGAAATTTTATTCCATGACAAATTATTATCACTTCCTTATTCAGTAACTTTTTAGCATAGACAATTGACAATTCTGATTTAAAACTTTTATTAAAAAACTTGGAAAGGTGTGCTTTACTTGCTATGTAAAAGGCATTAGACACTTAATGGTAAAATGAAAAATTATTTTATGATAAATTAATAGAATAAAACTATCATAAGTTATATTTAAACACTTACAGGTAATGAAATTTAAAATACGATGATTTCATGTCTTTTGATAAACAGGACAAATCCTGTAAATGAATCCAGAATCACTCCTAAATTAGTATTATTTTGAAAATTACAGTTTTTATTTCTCCTTCAAAATCAAAAGTAGCGTTAGCAATTCCTGTGATATCATATTCCTGACTTTAAACAGACATTTCCTTATGTAGAAAATAGTGGATTAAACCTTATTTTATAGCTAGCTACACCATTTTTAGCTCACCTGGCCCGATGGGCCAAGTGAGCTTTTCTCATCACTTGGCATCCGTCATCCGCCGTCGTCGTCCTCGTCGTTAACTTTTTATACGACCGCAAAAAAATTTTGCGGTCGTATATTGGTATGACGTTGGCATCATCGTCGTCGTTGTCCGAAGACACATTGGTTTTCCACTCTAACTTTAGTTTAAGTGAATGGATCTCTATGAAATTTTACCATAAGGTTCAATACCACAAAAGGAAGGTGGGGATTGATTTTGGGGGTTATGGTACTAACAGTTAAGGAATAAGGGGCCAAAAATAAGCATTTTTGTAACTTCCAGACATAACTTGTGTGTAAGTGTATGGATCTCTCTGACATTGTACCACAAGGTTCCATATCACAAAGGGAATGCTGGGATTGATTTTGGGGGTAATTGCTTCCAAATTTTAGGAATTAAGGGCCAAAAAGGGGCAAAAAACAAGCATTTTTCTAGTTTCATGACAATAACTTGTGTGTAAGTGTATGGATCTCTCTGACATTGTACCACAAGGTTCCATATCACAAAGGGAATGTTGGGATTGATTTTAGGGGTAATTGCCTCCAAATTTTAAGAATTAGGGGCCAAAAAGGGGCAAAAAACAAGCATTTTTCTAGTTTCATGACAATAACTTGTGGGTAAGTGTATGGATCTTTATGAAATTGTACTACAAGGTTCCATATCACAAAGGGAAAGCTGGAATTGAGTTTGGGGGTAATTGCCAGAAACGTTTAGGAATACGGGGCCAAAAGGGGCCAAAAATAAGCATTTTTCTAGTTTCCAGACAATAACTTGTGTTCAAGTGTATGGATCTCTCTGAAATTGTACTGCAAGGTACCATATCACAAAGGGAAGGCTGGGATTGATTTTGGGGGTAATTCCCTCAAAATTTTAGGAATTAGGGGCCATAAAGGGGCAAAAAAACAAGCATTTAGTGTTTAAGTGTACTATAAAACTTCCCGGAACCAGTACGCTCTAATATGCAATTAAAGGTATGTTGAATTTTTCAGCACAAGTCAGGATAAGGTATAGTTTTGACATGAAATAACTGCTACTTTATTTGAACTTAAGACAAAGTAGCCATTTATGCTTGAAATTGCAGAATTTAACATAGAAAGCAATGGGGCTATGAATTAGTGGTTTTATACCTTCAGGGTTCGACCTCTGCGGTCGTATCAAGCTGCGCCCCAGCGGAGCATTTTATTACATTTTGAACTTCTTCTAGAGAACCGCTGAATGGAATGAAACCAAACATGGCATGAATGTTCCTTATGAGGTGCTGACCAAGTGTTGTTACTTTGTAGCTGATCCATCATCCAAGATGGCCGCCAGCGGGGGACTTCGTTTAACATAGGACCCTATGTGAAGTACATACAAATGTCTTCTTTTAGAGAACCACTGAATGGAATGAAACCAAACATGGCATGAATGTTCCTTATGAGGTGCTGACCAAGTATTGTAACTCTGAAGCCGATCCATCATCCAAGATGGCTGCCAGGGGGGACTTTGTTTAACATAGGACCTTATGTGAAATACATACAAATGTCTTCTTTTAGAGAACCACTGAATGGAATGAAACCAAACAATTACTCTTCAATCTTTTAACTCTCTCTGGCAAATTTCAAACAAAAGAAAAGAATGTAAAAACATTTATTAGGCTTGGATCAGCATCTCAAAAACTTACAGGTCTACACAACATAAACTATACACACAATACAAAAACAAATGACGGTCACAATACAAGTACATGTAACTTACTCAAACAGAAGGTACAAAAACCTATCTTTCAAAAAACCCGCTAAACACACGGGAGAAAAAAAATTCAGAATAAAACTTTTTTTTTTTTTTTTCAAGTTAAAATAGGGCTGGGTGGGCGGTTATTTCAAGAATTATAAATTTAAGTCGATCGACGCGTCAACTTAATAAAAATTATGACCTGTTCAGAGAAAACTGATTAGAATAATGACCATACGAATATAGTGATTTGAAAGGAAAACTTTACTGAGTAGAAATTACCAGTAGGACCAATTGAACTGGACAAGCCAGTTAAAATAAGAAATTCACTGAACCAATGAGAAAAAATGTTTCATTCTAATCGTGCATGCGGAACCAGCACTAAGGAAAAGTAAATGCTAATAGTTATAGAAAACAAATAAAAGATAATTGAATTTTAATTATGCATTTTTAAAATAAAATTTTACATGGCATGAATGTTCCTTATGAGGTGCTGACCAAGTGTTGTAACTTTAATTTGTAGGGGATCAATTATTCAAGATGACCGCAAGAATTAACATAGGACCCTATGGGAAATACATACAAATGTTTTCTTTAAGAGAACCACTGAATGGAATGAAACCAAACATGGCATGAATGTTCCTTATGAGGTGCTGACCAAGTGTCGTTACTTTGTAGCCAATCAATCATCCAAGATTGTTGCCAGCGGGGAACTTAGCTTAACAAAGGACCCTATGTGAAATACATACAAAAGTCTTCTTTTGAAGAACCACTGAATGGAATGAAACCAAACATAGCATGAATGTTCCTTATGAGGTGCTGACCAAGTGTTGGTACTTTGTAGCCATCAACCAAGATGGCTGCCAACGGGGGACTTAGTTTAACAAAGGACCCTTTGGGAAATATATACAAATGTCTTCTTTTAGAAAACTGTCTAATGGATTGAAACCAAACATGGTATGAATGTTTCTTATGAGGTGCTGACCAAGTGTTGTTATTTTGTAGCTGATTTGCCATCCAAGATGGCTGCCAGCAGGGGGAGTAAGTTTAACATAGGACCCTATGGGAAATACATACACATGTTTTCTTCTAGAGAACCACTGAATGTAATGAAACCAAACATGGTGTGAATGTTCCTAACAAGGTGCTGACCAAGTGTTGTTACTTTGTAGCTGAACCATCATCCAAGATGGCCACAAGCAGGGGACTTAGTTTAACATAAGACCCTATGGGAATACATACAAATGCTTCTTCTAGAGGAGCACCGAATGGAATGAAACCAAACATGGCATAAATGTTCCTTATGAGGTGCTGCTGATGAAGACCTTAATACAAGTATCTTTATAGATTGAGATAAACTGTAAACTGCAAAAATATCAAGAAAAGAAGATCTACACATAAGTCAGCATGAGCAAAATTGTCAATTGACATCTTGTTGGAGTTATTGATCTTATAAAGTCATTTTCTAGAATTTCAATAAATTTATTGGTAATTTCTGTTAACTTTACAAAAATTCTTCTGCTTTTGATTAAATTACGGGGCCAATATTAAACCAAATTTGGCCTCAATCATTATTAGGTTAACTATTATGATTTTAATCTATTTTTACATGATTTCCAAAACCAAAGTAGAATCAGGTGAGTGACACAGGCTCTTGAGAGCCTCTAGTTTAATATTTTTTTCAATAGAATCATAGTTTCCAGTTGGTTACTGTTCATGGATTTGGACCAATTTGATTAATCCTCACTAAAAATACACTTTTTTTTAAAGGAATATCTTCATGGTCTTGTATCACGGTACAGCACTTTGATCCAAGCCTTTAAAAGAGATGTATTAGATGAACCTGATAACCAGGGTAAAGCCAATTTAGATCAAGGGGATTTAATACAGGTAAATTATATTTGTAGTTTAACTTTACAAATAAGTATAATATTTGTCATTTTCTTGTTAAAAAGTTTTAAGATATCCCTACCATATTTAGAATTGCATAAACAGAAAATATCTACAATAATAGACATCACTTAATTATAATTATTCAGATGCATTTATAGACATTCTACCAAAATATACTATTATATCGTTTAGCTGAAGTTTGCCGTCAGAGGAAATATGAAATGTAAGACTGTCAACTACAGATTTTGTACTTAAATAAGTCCTGGTTGGTTTAGCAATTAAAATTTACACTGCTTGTAATGCTTTTGGCAGTTTTATTCAAATTGACGTACTTTGATGCTTGGCTTTTATTTTTTTTTCAGTATTTTTCCCAGTTTGCAGAACTCAATCTTGGCAGCATCACTAATTTAGGACCTAAGATCACAGGAACCTCTCTGACTCGTTCAGCTTCACATCCCTGTCTGAGCAGTGCCGCACCTGCCACCAATGTTCCAACTTTCACAACCATGTCAAAATCTAGTTCTAAAAAAACTGATATAGATTCTACAGGATTCAGTGCCTCCCAAGTATATAAAGGATACATTGATGATCCCAAAAACACAGATAATGCCTGGATAGAAGCAGAAGTCTGGAATTTCCATTATGATGCCGGAGATATATATGATATAAAATTACCAGATGTAAGTTAAATTTAAATATTATCGGAAACAAGTTGTTTGTTGATTAGTGAATAAAAAAATACAAGGATGTGGTATGATTGCCAATGAGATGACCAGAGATGAAGTAGAATATTAGTAACTATAGGTGACCATACAGTCTTCAGCAATGAGCAAAACCCATACCACATAGCAAGCTGTTTTCTTATTTGTTTTATATAGAATCTACCATGCAACCCCGTTCATAACAATGTTTATCCACTTGATATAATTGAATTTAAAACTTTAAAGAGATTTGTCACCATTTTAAAATTTGTAAATTTAACTATCTAGTGTGGATAAATATTCTAGTCAACGGTGGTAAAGTAGCAGAATCTAATGATATAATGGAAAATTCTTAATGCAATGTTCCAAATGGATGTGGTGGGAAATTACACAATAGACATTTAATCAACATGTGTTTTATCAAAATTTGGACAAATTGGTCAGAACCAGTTTTAAATAAAGGCATACAGAATTTGAGAAAATAGTAAATACTGTCTTTAAAAAATTTCAAAACAATATGAAGAAAAAATTTAATGATAATAAATATGTAGGATCTGTTGCAGTAACTTTATATCTGCTGATTCTGGTGGAAATTTTTTAATTCTTTTTTAAGAACTTTTTTATACAAATTTCCCTTATTGAAATTTAGAACATCATTGCAGACAGTTTTATAGCAAGAAAGGTCCTAGGTGCATTGTCTTGAAATAGAATATAAGACTTTAAATCAATTTTTGGAGATAGTAAATTTTATCTCCAAGTTTTCCAAATAAAACAGAAATATGAAAGTCATAAATTGGCTCCTTTCACTGTCTAATTTTAGTAAAGAAGTCTGGATTTATCTAATCAAAAATTTTCAAAGTAAAGGTTTGTGTTATTCTATCTATCTATTGCACCTTCACTTGTTCGGATGTAACTGTGCTTATTCAAAAGACTTTTCTCTTTCACAATACAAAAAACATCTCGATACTGGTATTACTCGACACTAACAAAGTCATTTGGTCTGAAATAATTATGCCATCTTTTATCTTTACAGGACTCCAACAAAGTCATGTGGAAAGAGATTTCACCAAATGTCAGGATATATGGAAATGAAGGCGTCATTGTCCAGGAAGCTGCCAAAATTCAAGATGCTTATTTTTGATTGTTATGTAAAAAAAAACTACAAGTGCGTATATAAGGAAAATAATTATAACTTGTTGGAAAGTCCCAAGTTGTCAAATAAGTATTTCACCAACGAATTGACAGGCGAAAAAATAGTATTCAAAAGATTTTGAGACACAGATAATTGCCTTATTCATGACATTCCATTTATCTGTTTTTTCAAAGAATAGTGCTGGGTGCTAGGTATGATATATCATAAATTTTATAATGTTTTAAATTTTATAAATCATTCATAGCTTAACTAAACACACATTGAAATTCGACATTATAAAGAATTCATTAATTCATTAATTCATTGATATTATTACATCATTAAGAGTTTTAAAATGTTTTAAAAACCAACTGCAGGATTTAGATTTATTTTTGTGTACCTATTCTAGGTATGACTAGTGTTTTTATATATTCAAGAGGAATTCTTCCTAGTCTATAGCTGTACCCTACAAAAAAGACATTGTCCAGTGTTTTAACCAGTAAGCCTTTATAGGATTAAATGTGTTAACTATTTTGGATTCATTGTAATTCCCTGGTTTACAATTTTTGTGAATTTTGTGGGAATCGGTAAAAACGAATTTAAATGTTTAATGTAGTACAAATTTTTTATGGGTTGTATCTAGACTTTGGCAAAACCTCAAAATCATATATCCACCAACATATAATTTTCATCAATCAACAAAATATGATACCAACAAAAATAAATGAATCAACATAATTAAAGTTTCTTTAGTGTACATGTTTATTTCATTGTCAGTGTCCTGGCGTGGATCGTCAGGATTAAATAAATATTTTGAACTATCAATGAAGACTGTAATATTGTGTTGTGTGAGATTTTTGGCAGAGCTTGTGAAAATAAAAATTTTCATTTAATGATCAGACTACTGCATGTACTGTAAGCTGCTTTTTTTTTGTAGTCACTTTCTTTCAAAGAGTAGAGCTATTAAGAATTGTATGTCTATTTACTTTTATAAATAACATCATATCAACTCTAACTTTCTTTAGTAATGCATTAGTTGTCCTATATTTCAATTCACAAAAACAAAAATCAATTTTTCATGAATCAAAGTAGTACTCTGGTTTACAGTTGAATTCAAAATTATTTAAGTATTAACAAATTTTCTTGTGGTCTATTCTATTTAAATATTATGAATAGCTGTAATAAAAAATCAGGTATTAGAATCTGAATTGCTGAAAGGGAGAAAAAAAAAATCTCCCCTGCTTGTGCAGGATGAAAATTTCATAGACGGCCACGGGTGTCTGTATATTGTGTGGGAGAGAAAAAAAAATTCTCCCCTGATTGTGCAGGATGAAAATTTCATAGGCAGCCATGGGTGAGGGGGTGCACAGGGGGGTACCCTTCTCCTAACCCGAATAATTCAGTCGTTATATTCCGCTGATCTACGAAGGCTACATTAACGCCTGAACGTCTTCCTCGATAAAGACCGTCAACCGGAAAATTCACACCGCTATGCAATACGGGAATTTTTATTTAAGTTGGCAGCTAAAGAAGGAGGAGTTCCGGATGTTAATTGATGTTAAATGATGTAAACTGATGTTAATTGATGTTAATTAATTATTATCGGATTTGTGTCAATTGAACACACGTGATTGGTAAGACAATTACAAGAAAGTTGCGCAGACTCATTATCCTGATCGCCACCGATTGGCTCTCTCTCACAGAGAGCAGGCAACGCGGCCAATGATCATAAGGAGTTCAAGCCCTCGTGTGGGAGAAAATCGGACACGGAAAGGGCTTGAATTATTCGAGTTACCCTTCTCCCACCTCCCAGCCCCCCTAACAGATGTATCAGATATCATAACGCAAATTCTAATTATTTCGATACTCACCCAGTCTCATTATTTGCATTAATAAAAACCTCACAATAGTTTCTGAATTTACAGTATTTGATATCAAGAAAGACTAAAAAAGATTAATAGGTCTAGGTACAACTCAGATTGAACTGACCAGTTGTAAGAAAATTAGTTAACACCTGTGTATGTTTTAATGCAAATAATCGAATCTCAAATAACAAATTGAAAAAAGCCTATATTCTACTTTACATGTATCACATATACCTCATCTTTCCTACCTCAGCTATTATAATGTAGATATCTACCTCAACCATTATTATATAGATATATTTTTAGTTCGAACTGTAATAGTAATGTATGCAAATTTTGCTAAAAGATATACATAAACCTTCCTGAAATCATGTGCTGAAAGTTGGAAATGTTTGCCCCTCTTTATGTATCTGGTTTTATTATTGTAACTTGGAAAAGTGCAAACTGTAGAAATAGAAAGCCATGGAATGATGTAATGAAAAGGAAAATGTTATTTCTTTAACATGATTACCATCATATCTCAATATTACATTGATTAAAAAAAATGCATCCATATTGAAATTTATGTACTTTAAATTATAGTCCGATTCCATTTATTGTCTCACTTGTGATGAAAGTCACAAAATAAGCCATTCGTTGTTTTTACTTTTCCTAATTTTCAAAACTATTTAGATGTTGTGTATATATATATATATATATAATAAGTCTAAAAGGGTACAACATCAACAAAAAAAAGTAAAATCATGAACAAATGTTAAATATTTCGGATAACTAATATCCTTCATCAGTAAGATGTCAAATGATTCTTATCTTGACATGTGGTAGTCAAACTGAAATAATAATCTTGATCGTTATACAAATTATCACGAATCAATACGCTGGTAAATTTTTTCAATATTGATGTTTGGGAGGAGGAATAAATTTATATATATATATATAAACTTGTCTGTTAGTTTGTGTCTAGAGGTCTTTTAGTCTTTGTGTGTTCAATTGTCTGTCTCATTGATGTAGTCCCCACATCTCCTTTTATAAACTTGTCTATTAGTTTGTGTCTAGAGGTCTTTTAGTCTTTGTGTCTTCAATTGTCTGTCTCATTGACATAGTCCCCACATCTCCTTTTATTCTTATATACATTGTTCAAGTGTTTGGTTTTCGAATAAGAGCCTCACATTTTACATGTTTTCTAAGCTTTTACAAATAAATTTTATATTTCAAGACAATATATAGTTAACCTATATATATTATGTCCCAGTGGATATGTGATTGGTAGAAATGATTATGTATAATTTTTGAAGGACACAGGTGGTTTCAGAATGTTTACACATGTTGGTCTATTTTTTAACATAAATATGACTTCCATTTATTTGTTGTATAAGTTTTACATGTTATCAATATCAAATGTATGTTATATTCATGTGCTTTTTAAAACCAAGAAAAATTGTCATTTTATAAATAGATTTTACATATATTAGCATATGTACCTCAGATTTTCTTAAAAATAAATGAAATGAATGTTCTCTGATGTAGTGTTTTTTGTCGTGTCGTATATCATTTTCATCATCATTATCACATTGCTTGCCTGCACATCCTGTAAATCATTAGATAGCTTAGAATGATATTTTACAAAAATGCTTTTGCTAGCTGCTTACTTATATGGTTAATATTGCATAAGATAAACATGAGGTCTTCACATCATCATTAGTAAAAACATTTTGTTTCAGGCATCTATGATCTTTTTGGTGAGAAGGTTAACATTGTGCTATCTTATAGGAAATAAGTTTAGTCTATTTCTTGGAACATTGAGTAATATTTATAAGATACTATTTTGAATAATTGTGGAATGGAAAGCCATATTTTTGCTAATACAAAACAAAAATGTACATAATAACAAATTTGTGGAAAATAATGCTGATTTTTGCAAATCTCAAATTACCAAATTTAACGTCTTTATGCCTATGCAAAAAGGTGCAGGGAGAGGGGTTGAAGTTAATCCTTATCAGTTTCTTTGTAATTAAAATCAACAAGCTCTTTGGAAACACTATTAGGGATTTTACACACAAGGAAAACTTTGCTGTTTTTTTCCTAAATGATTTCATGTTTTTATTACTTTTTCAATAAATTGTAAAGACAATCTTCTTTTTATCAAAATGTTTCTTTATTTTTTTTTAGTCAGTCTATGTTTACCTAAGTTCAACAATCAGAAATGACAGATATTATAAATGTATATTGTAGACTTAATCTCATGTAATAGTTTGTAGAAAAAGAGAGGGACAAGATATCCAGGCTAGGGGTCATCGAAAAAACATGTCCAATAAAACAGACAAAATTTTGGCCAAATATTTAAAGGACAAACAACAGTAACAAAACATTTTATTGTTAACAATCTCATTACAGAATGCCACAAAGTGCTTGCTGAGTACTTTTCACATTTATTGTTCGAAACTTTTGATGTTAATAATTATTCAACCCTCAATATTCTAATTTGTAAATTGCACCTGCTGATCCCAGTTCCAAATTTTATTTTGCCATCAAAACATCAAAACTACTAATTCGGAGTAGATTGTTTGTGAAGACTTTTAATGAGGAAAAGAGGAAAAAGATATAAGTAAAAGCATATTTGTCAATATACACCGCCCTGGTGGTCTTGTGGTAGTGTGTTCGCCTCAAGTGCGGGAGGTCTTGGGTTCGAACCCCAGGCAGGTCAAACCAAAGACATTAAATTGGTATTTGTTGCTTCTCTGCTAAGTACGTGGCATTAAGGAGTAAGAGCAAAGACTGGTCTGCTGGGAGTCAGAATAATGTTTCTAGGTAAGTGACATGTCTTCCTGCAGACTGTTATTTTGTGAACTAGCACGTTAAAAGTCCGGCTCAGGGTGTCGGTCTAGTACAAAGCAGGGTTAATATTCATAATTTATTAACATGGTCTCGTCCTGAATATACTTATTAATTTGCCACTGGACGTTAAGCAACCATCCATCATCATCATCATATTTGTCAATATGTAAATAATGTAAAAATAGGCAAAAATAAATGATTTACTAGTTTTGCTAGTTAGAATTGTTGAATGTCCCTTTGGTATCTTTCACCTCTCCTTTAGATCAACAAAGTAAATTGCACTAGGTGACTTTTGTAGTGTAAACTGTTTGTATTATTGA